GCCCTACGCTCCCACCACGTTGCCCTGGTGGGGCCTGGCCATCGATTACTCGCAGACTCTCCCTGTGTCGGGGTCGACGCCGACGACAATGGCGATGGTGCCGTCGACTTCGACTGCAACGACACAGGCCGTGCCGGCCAAACGAAGAAAGATTGCCAACGGCCCTGCGGAAGATGGAGGCCGTCGACATCATCAACAACAACAGCGCCGGCACTACGACCAGATCGACAATGAGGAGGGAGGTGAGTTGGAGCTGGACCTGGAACGGGAGCTCGACATCCTCATTCGATCGCCCACGCTCTACAACGCCGGGGGCTCGTTGTGTCTGCCGCTCGACCAGCAGCCCTTCTTCGTCGATGTCAACACCAACACCAACGACCCTGAACTCTTCGCCTCTTCTTCTTCATATTCTTCTCCGTCTCTCTCGCCCACCATCGACTCCTTCACCTACTCCTCTTCCTCATCGTCTCCTTATCTCTCGCCTTGCACGACGTCTTCGCCCGCGTCGCCCTCATCTCACACGTCGACAACACCACCAACGACAATGTCGGTTTTCCTGCCACCGCCGATGGCGGAGGACACCGCCACGGTGACACTCACCCACAAGCCCCGGGGCTCCCACGGCGCCTGGAGCCCGCTGAACGACGGCCAACGCATCCGGTATTTTGTTTTCTGCATACCTTCTCTCTTTCTTTCTTCTTATTTACGGTTGCGGGTCTCTTTCGTTCTTTACCGTGAGGGACATTATTTTGTAGTGAATTTTTTGCATTCCTCAGCGTTTACAAAAGTGTTGAGGTGCAACAGGCAATGGAACGCGACTAACGGCGTTTACGGTTCGAACACCAGCGTGACGAAGGGCCGAGGCAAGCGACTGCGGATCGTGTTCAAGTGCAGACAACGATTCGATTGGCCGGACGTCCGCTTGCGGCTGCTAGACCTCACCAATGGCCCGGCCCTCGAGTGCGCCGACTTTTATGTGTGCAACGATCGAAGCACTCTCCAGGTGCGCCATCCACCACTTTACCAACACCTATCATCATCATCGCCACCACCTCAATCAGACAGTTCTTAATCGGCTTACAACCCCAATGTGACGACAGGACGAAGAGGACGGTGGCTCTACGGCGGTCATCGAGTTCCACGTGTCTCGAGTCCGTGCGCGCATGCAATTCGAGGTCACTCTGGAACGGCGGCCCACCGGCCACAGCTGCGGAAGCGCTCCGGGCGGACCCTGCTCGTGTGGATGGACGTGGGAGGGCCGGACCGTGTCTTTTGTCACCCACAACGAACGGCAAAGATCGGCCT